GAGAGACGGTGGGCAGGGTTGTGGCGGCTCGGGCGGGGTTGGAGGTACGGTGGGCAGAGTGTTGTGGCGGCTCGGGCGGAATTGGAGAGACGTTGGGCAGGGTTGTGGCGGCGCGGGCGGGGTTAGAGAGACGTTGGACAGGGTTCTGGCGACGCGGGCGGGGCTTGGAGAGACGGTGGGCAGGGTTGTGACGGGTCGGGCAGGGCTTGGAGAGACGTTGGGCGGAGCTGTGACGGATTTGGCGGGGCTCGGAGAGACGGTGGGCAGGGTTGTGACGGATCGGGCGGGGCTTGAAGAGATGTTGGGCAGGGTTGTGGCGGATGGGGCGGGGCTTGGAGAGACGGTGGGCGGGGCTTTGTGAGACGGTGGGCAGGGCTGGCGGATCGAATGCTGCCTATCTTATTTAACATGATGTGCCTAAGTGAAAAGTCACCACACCAGGTAGACCTTGTGAAAAATACATCGTCATGCGGAGATGTCGTGGGTACGGCTGCCGCGACGGTGAACCGTCGACTCAACCTGTCGTTGAAGTGGCCTCCTTGTCCTCTCCACTTAGTCTTCCGTTTCCGTTTGATGAAACATTTTGTGGTACAATCCATTCCACTGTTGTTTTTTTGTGTTGCATTGGTGCTTTATGCCGTACTCTGCTGCAGCTAAGGCCATGCGGTGTTACCTGCCTCTCATCCGGGCAGAAAGAGCGGACATCGCGTTTTTTTCGTGTGACCTCTAGCTTAGGCACGTATGTGTTCGGCGTTTTCATGCGATCCTAGATCCGCGTCCATGATAGTGTCTAGCAAGAGGCCTTGCAAGAGCCCGGGAATCCGACTGCATCTGGGGCAAATGGCCTTGCTGCTGGAAATAGCTGTGACGGAAGATGGAGCAGAGCCATCTGATGACTGCCGGCTGAACTTGCAGTATCACGCCGACTCCGCTTGGCGAAGGGAAGAGCACGACCACCATCGGGCTGTCGCAGGCGCTGGGCGCCGAGCTGGGCCGCAACGTGTTCGCGTGCGTGCGTCAGCCTTCGCAGGGACCCACGTTCGGCATCAAAGGTGACTGGGCGTGGGGGCGACGGTGACGGGACGGGATGGTGCGTGTGGGACAGGGACACTGACGGGACGCGATGGTGCCGTGTGGGACAGGGACATGACGGGACGAGTTGCCGTTTGGGACAGGGACACTGCGGAGTGATGGTGCCCGTGTGGGACAGGGACGCTGACGGGACGTGATGGTGCCGTGTGGGACAGGGACGCTGACGGGACGTGATGGTGCCGTGTGGGACGGGGACGCTGACGGGACGGGATGGTGCCGTGTGGGACGGGGACGCTGACGGGACGGGATGGTGCCGTGTGGGGACGGGGGACGCTGACGGGACGGGATGGTGCTGTGTGGGACAGGGACGTCGGACTAGCGGCGTCTCCGACTTCCTCAGAGTGTCTGCCCAGAAGAATGCAGCGTGCGTTGGTGAATGTGGGCGGCTCTGCGTAGTGCGCACGCGCGTGGGGCTTCGAGGGAGAGACATCCTGAGTTTGTACGTGGGCTTCGCCAGCTATGTGCACTCGTCTGGTGTCTCCCAAACTGTTCTCAGCAGCTTGGGCACGTTCCAAGCAGCTCATTTGTCAAAATATTCGGACGTCTTTAAAAAAAGAAGCACCGGCCAATTTCGACGGCTTGGAGCCAGAAGCGGATACGCTCCTGCTTGCATATGCAGGACGGTATGGCGTATTTGACAGACAGGATCTCGTATTTGACAGACATGGCGGGAAAGAGTCCTGTGACGCGCACGCAGACCCCGCGTCGGCCGACAGTCCTGACCGCTGCCGACAGGCGGCGCTGCCGGCGGCGGCTACTCGCAGGTGATCCCGATGGAGGAGTTCAACCTGCACATGACTGGCGACATCCACGCCATCACGGCGGCCAACAACCTGCTGGCGGCGCAGCTTGAGGCGCGCATGTTCCCCGAGTCGACGCAGACGGACGCGGCGCTGTTCGGGCGGCTTTGTGCCGGCGCGCAACGGCGCGCGCGCCTTCTCGCCCATCCAGCTGGGCCGGCTGCGGCGCGCCTCGGCATCGAGAAGACAGAGCCGGACGCGCTGACCGAGGAGGAGGTGCGCCGCTTCGTCCGGCTTGACATCGACCCGGAGACCATCACCTGGCAGAGAGGTGGGTGGCGGGCGGTCCTGGCTCGGCTGGGAGCCCGCCAGCCGGGGCCGCCGCGCAGTCTCCCCGGCGAGAGGGTCTGTCCCCGCGTGGCCATGACCTGCCACCCCCCCAGCGCGTGCTCCGCTGCGATGGAGTCAATTAGGTCAAACGATGTGATGCGCGATGACGTTCTTTGACGGCCGTTGTCATGTACCATACAGTGAACGTCTTGGGCCAAAATTTACTGCCATGCTGAAAGCAGCGCTGCGCCTCGCCGTCTGTGAAAGGCGACAAAGCCAAAGCGCCGACGCCGTTTCCACAAAGCCGGCTGGCGCTTGCAGCCCGTTCGCGGTCTCCCGGCGCAGCTGACCTGCCGCTCCCCCTGCTGGGTCGCTGCCGGTCACTGCCGGGTCACTGTCAAGTCACTGCCGGGTCAACTGCCGGATCACTGCCGGGTCGCTGCCGGGTCACTGCCGGGTTCACTACCGGATTACTGCCAGATCACTGCAGGGTCACTGCCGGGTCGCTGCCGGGTCACTGGGGTCATGCCGGGTCACTGCCGGATCACTGCCGGATCACTTCCTGGTCACTGCGACCGCTCCTCCCCGGCAGTGATCGACACCAACGACCGGTTCCTGCGCCGCATCACCGTCGGCCAGTCGGACACGGAGAAAGGGCGCACTCGCGTCTGCCAGTTCGACATCACCGTGGCCAGCGAGGTGATGGCCGTGCTGGCGCTGACCACCAGCCTGCGAGACATGCGTGACCGACTGGGCCGCTGCGTGGTGGCGTCCGACGCGCGGCCATCCCGTCACCGCCGACGACCTGGTGAGTGTCCGGGTCAGGCCAGGTGGGGAATGGCCGTATCGTCACCGCTGACGACCTGGTGAGTGTCCGGGTCAGGCCAGGTTAGGGGACGGCTTTCTCGTCACTACCGGTGACCTGGTCAGTATCCGCGTCAGGTCAGGTCGGGGAATGGCCGTCCCGTTACCGCTGACGACCTGGTGAGTTTCCGGGCCAGGTCAGGTCTGGTGACGGCTTTCTCTTCAATGCTGGTGACCTAGTGAGTGTGCGGGTCAGGTCATGGTCGGGGAATGGCCATCCCGTCACCGCTGGTGGCCTGGTCAGTGTCCGGGTCAAGTCAGGTCTGGGGACGGTTTTCCCGTCACCGCTGGTGGTCTGGTGAGTGTCCAGGTCAGGCCAGGTCTGGGGACGGCTGCCCGTCACCGCTGATGGCCTGGTGAGTTTCCGGGCCAGTTCAGGTCTGGGGACGGCTGCCCGTCACCGCTGGTGGCCTGGTGAGTTACCGGGCCAGGCCAGGTCTGGGGACGGCTGCCCGTCACCGCTGGTGGCCTGGTGAGTGCCCGGGTCAGGTCAGGTTAGGGGACGGTCTGTGGTCCCGAGGTAGCACTGACGATATCGCGTGATGAACTAGGTGTAACGTTGTATCATGTCATGCCGACCAGAAACAATGTGCTTGTTTGGTGTTTCTCTGTTGTATTGAGACAAGCTCGCAATTAAGGCAGATCACGAAAGCGAAAACCGCGAAATGGCTCACGTTGGTACACGTGCACGGGGAGAAAGCTCTGTATGCACTTTGCTCAAGATCTCAGGAGAAAACCTGCGAGAGTGAATGAGACACACACGAGACACATGTATCGTGTCAGCGGACCCGGCTTCTTAATATCCTTATTACACCTTCGTCATTCCCGCTGAATATCATGGCAATATTACACAGTGTGGCGAGTGTGCAGATAAACGCCTCGCTCTCCATCTGCAGCCCGGCTTTCGCCACCCGCACACCATTTTCAAGGGCAACTGTTCTGTGACAAATGATCTCAGTGAACTGTACGACGCCCTAAAACACCCAGCGTACGAGGGGTGCTCGCCAGATCACCGGACTCGTCACACGCGAGCTCCCGACTGAAATCACGCACGCGGCGCGTGTCACCGGCGCTCTCACGGCACCCGTCGTGAAATGGCGACCCTCATGGCTTGAGAGTTGCCGGCACAGGCGGCTGATCCCGCCAATCCCGGACAATTCCGTATCCCGTTAGCGGCACGCTGCGCTAAACACTTCTCATAACCGCGGTGAAAGCCGCGCTCCCTGTGTGCGACCCAGCGGGCAGGCGTGACGCACGCCCGCGCAGGAGTCCTCGCGGTCTCAGTGCGCGCCTTCGACGCGCATGAGGGGAAACGTGTCGTACCGGCCCCGGCGGCGGGTGCACCGGCGCTGCAGCGCCACCCCCACCGCCCGCCCCCGCCACAAACCCGACCACCGTCGCCGCAGCCGCCACCGCCACCAGCGGCACCAGGTCCAGTCGCTGCGGCTCCGCTCTCGCCGCCTCCTGCGCCGTCGGCGCCGCGACGTCGGCTGCACAGCCGGCCGCCGCTGCCGCGCGCTGCAGGTAGCGCTGCTGGCCGTCGGGCGCGGCGACGGGCGCCTCCAGCGCGCGTCGCCAGTCGGGCGTCCCGGCGGCGCAGCGGAAGTGCAGCGCCGTCAGCCGCTCGGCGCCAGTCGGCCCGCGCAGCGCCAGCAGGCCGGGCCGCGCCGCCTGCTCGAACGTGACGTACGCCAGCCGCGTGCCGTTGCCGCCGCGGACGGCCGCCAGCGGGAAGGCGGCCGGCGGCGCGCACAGTGGTGTGCAGCAGGTCGACGGCACCGCGCACGTCCACGTCCAGCGCGTCTGTGCTGAGCCGGCCGAACGTGGTGTCGTTGACGAGGAAGGAGCCGGAGCCGCGGACGGTCAGCCCGCTGTGGCCGATCTCGTCCACGGTGGAGGACGCCACCTGGCGGCGCGACCGGGCGTCAGGCGGACTGGAGGGGAGGGGGTGGGCGCCACTGCGCCGGACGGCATGTCTGGGGCCGGGTTTGACGGCGCGAGCGTGCGTTGGGCAGCTGTAGTGACGGGCGCGGCGGCGGGCGCGAGACGGGACGTCTGGTGGCAGGGCGGGCATCAGACGTGACATCTAGCGGCGGCCGCGAGCTTTAGATAGAGTGCTGCGTTTGTTTTGTGTCCCTTTGTCAACTGGTCAGGGTGAACTGGACTAGAACAGGGAGCACCGGCTATTGCTGAACCGCTGCGTGCGCGCAGACATCCTCTGCTGACGTGTTGTAAGGAAGAAAGACAGTGGGCTCCTCGTTTTTTGGCATTATTAGTTGGAAATTCTTTTGCTGATGATTATCAATCCACACTGTATCAGGAGGTGCTGGCAAAACGACGTTATCAATCAAACGTGGTATATATTGTCAAAGATCTTCGATCGTAGTTTGAGTTTTGAAGATATAACCAACATTTGCTTGACAACGTTGTTTTACCAACCCTCCACGCATAGGTCGATTGATGTGAGCATAACAACTCCAAACACACCATCTGGTGTTCCCACTTGATGCCGTGTGACACTGACCGCCACATGTGCGCCCGGGACCCCCGGGAGCACCGACCTTCACGAACTCGTCGTCGGTGGCCATGCTGACATGCAGCGCGCCCTCCTGCACGGCGCCCACGTGGCAGTGCTGCAGCTGGAAGCCGCGGCTGCCGTGGTGCACGTCCTCGCGGTGACTGAGCAGCAGGCGGCCGATCTGCGGCCCCTCGAACGTGTCCACCACGCAGCGCGTCAGCTCCACGTAGCGGACCTGCGGCAGCACGGCCGGTGCTACCTGCCGGGGGGGGGGGGGGAGGAGGGGGGACGGGCTGCGGGGGCGCGGCGCTCTGACCGGGCGGACGCTGGCACGCTCCCGTTGGTGGACTCTGATCGGACGCCGCCACATGGCTGAGCTGCGGGTGCGCGGCGCTCTGACCGGGTGGGCGCTGGCCGCTTCTGTTGGTGGACTCTGATCGGACGCCGTCACATGGCTGAGCGCCAACCGAGTTCGATGTTCGTGCGCAAGTGCGCGACGGTGCCACCGTCCGCGGTCTGTGTCGGGGCGGAGGGCGATCGTTTCGCCATTGCAACGGTGCCCCCATCCGTGGTCTGTGTTGGGGCGGAGGGCGATCGTTTCACCAGTAGGACGGTGCCCCCGTCTGTCGTCTGTCGGGGCGGAGAGGGATCGTTTCAACATTGCGACGGTGCCCCCGTCTGTCGTCTGTGTCGAGGCGGAGGGCGATCGTTTCACCGGTACGCGGAGATGGACATACCAGGTGGTGAGGACACCCGTGACGTCACGGTGCCGCCGCACCGGTAGGGCCGCGGCCGGCCGTGCGCTCACCTTGCCGACGTCTGCGAAGGCGCCGCGCCGGACGGTGCCGAGCCGGCAGCCGGTCAGTCGGAGGCCAACAGCGGCGGTGTGCGAGAGCACGCCGTGCGGCAGCTCGGCCACGCTGCTGTTGACGATCCCCAGGCCTGTGGGCGGCCGGCGCTGGCGGCAGTCGCGCCGGGCCCGCTCGGCCGACGCGGACCCGGGCGCGCGGGGCCAGTTCACACGGTGATGGCAAGTGGAAAACGGGGCGCATAAAGAATGCTGACAAACTGCGTTGATCTGTTGTCTTGCAAAAGGTTGCAGAATGTTGCAAAAGCAGATTGCGAACGGAACTAAGTAAAGTGGAGCCGTAAAATCGCTACCATTATTTTCAGGAGGATGAAGAGCACCCTAAGGAGGATTCGTTGCAAAATTGCAAACCGTTATTGCACGGCACGCACGCCATTGCAACGTTACAGGTCTTGATATAGATTATTCCATGCATGTGTTGTACATATCCTTACAGATGACAACACCCGGCAATGAGGCACTGCGACACCGTAACGCTGTGTTCATTGTGTGACGCTGAGTGCTGAATATCCGTGTGGTATGCCTGGTAGCCTCACGCAAACGGTATAACATGCTTTCAAAGGTCGAAGGCTGCAAGCGGTAAGATAGGCGAAGTCCAGCAGGACACGGACCAGCCGTGTGACGTCAGACCCACAACACAAAGGTACCAGATTTCCAGTGCAGTATGCCTCAGTGAATGCGGTTCTCGCCTTTGGCAATTCTGCAAGCGTTCTGGACTCTACTGGTGTGCTGTGACAAAACCGTTCAGTTACGCACGGCACATTGAAGGCTCTCGGGATGTGTCTGCCGTCTGGCCGCGCACTCAGTGCACGCGTTCCTCGCGTTTGCGTGGACAGAGTAGTATTTGTCAACGCCGGTCCGCCGCGGCTTTCTGCGTCATCAACATTGGAGCTTCACGACACACGCAGCTGCTGGGGCAGTGTGGTGTCGCCTGCCTCTCACCCTGGCGGGAAGGGCGGATACCGCGGGCGATCGGACCCGCAGCTCTGGTTTCCCAGACGGGCGGTTCCCAGACTGGTAGATGTCTGTTGCCTATTGCCTGTAGCCAGACACTCGGTCATTGGCATGGCGCGGAAGAAAGGCAAAGTTGAATCCGGAGTGTGTTGTATGGTGTGGCATGTTTACATAACGCAGAATGCTTCTCATGTGTTGCAGCAAGTCAGTGTTGCAACATTCCGGGAAGAATTGTGACTATGGGTCTTACCGACCTTTTCTTAGTCAGGCACTCAAGCAAGCATCCTGGCAATGCTTCCTTAGTGTTATTCTGCACGGTGTTTTGCACATTGCTCTGCATGTATATATAGATATATCATGCTGCCTGGAACTGAGCAGATGTGTAACACTCGCTGCGAACATGCAAGGGTTAGAGAGGCGTTGTGATGAACACGCGCGTCAGTCGAACTCAGCATGCTTCCAGGGCGACAGCTAGAGTGGCAGGCGTGGCCTGGTCGCCATGGATGTTTTTCTATGGATACAGCTTCTGTGAAGTATGTTGCTCGAGCCGAGCCCGCTCGGCGCTGACCCGTCCACGTGGTGCGCGCGGTGGTTCCTGAGCCAGCCCAGCGTGGGAGTATGCTCTGCTGATATGCTGTGGGGGTATGCTGGCATCATGGCGTGAATATGGCAGCGTGGTGTCATATTTGCGCTTGCTCGCCAGTGCAATGCACAGCGCGCTCCGCCAGCAATCACGCCTTGTCGGTATCAGGACACCCGCGCTGATAAGCGGCGCGGACTTTCTCGTCGGCATTTGTCATTCAGAAGTGGTAGATACGGTATCGCAAGGTGAAGTTGTCGCTGTCCAAACATGGCGGCTATCGGTACACTGGTTCACGATCATGACAGAGCATGCGCCATCGAGTGTGCTTGCTCAGCGCACAATCATTCTGCCTTGTTCTACGAGTTTCCCAGCAGTTATGTACCTGCCAGAAATCTGCTGTACAATAGCTGCACCGCGCGCTGCGTTTCATCGTGATCTGTCGCAACAACCTCAACTATTTTTGGCGTTGAAACTCCGGAACAGAGGAAAACAGCGAATGATATGTGACCGAATCGCAGTAAGAAGGCTTTGGTCTATGCCATCGTCAGTAACAAAACTTGGCTCCATATTGGAATTGACACTACTCTAATGCCGCGCGCGCGTGCTAGAGATTGCGCCTCACATCACCGCGAAACGTGTGGGACCGTGAACAGGTTCCCCATGGAAACATGCATGAAAGCAGTGACGTCGGCCGAGCCCTCACCCATGAAGCTCAGCCGGCTGGCGGGCAGGAACTCGGCGGCGAACGTGATGTTGCCGATGCCCCAGAGGTCGACGGCCACCGAGCGGTAGCGGCGCAAGGCGCGGAGGAAGCCGGGCCGCACGTCCAGAGCGCGGGCGCCCTCCAGCAGCAGGTAGAGGGTGGAGCTGGTGAAGGGCAGCACGCCAGGACCGCTCAGCTCCACCTCCTGCGGCACGTGCGCCCGGACGGCGCCGTCGGCAGTCACGCGCGGGATGCGCACTGGCTGCGTCTGGCCGGTCATTGCGCTGTGGGGCTCACTGGCCGCCACACGACGGCGTGACGTTTGGCAGGCATGGCGCCGGCCGGCACGCGCTGCAGTGGACCGCGGCGGACACTCCCGGTCAAAATACGCTACCCTCGCTCAACACAGACGGCACCTGAACTGGGGCCCCACCGCTGTGCGGTCAGCAATGTCGCTGGGGTACGCCCGGGACTGCCGAGTCACTGCCGAGCTGTGTCTGGGACTGGTGACCCCTCTGCCCTCCCTGAGCGTGGGCCGCCGGCCAGTCGGCCGGCGGCCGTCCCACCACGGCACCGACCTCCTCGCCGGAGAACTGGCACTGCAGGTGGTCGATGTCGCCCTGCTGCGAGCACGTGCAGCGCTGGCAGTCGGGCGCCAGCGCCAGCACCAGCGCCGGCACCAGCGCCAGCGCCGGCAGCAGTGGCGGCGCAGCCCCCATCGGGCACACTGGCGCGCGGTGCGGCCGGACGCCGGAAGCGCCGGAGATAGGCGGCGGCCCCCCCAGGCCTCGTCAGGCCGGTGGACGGCCGGCCGGCGCCGCCGGAAGCGCCGACGTCGGCCCCCCACCGGGTGTACTGACCGGTGGACAGGTCGGTGGACCTGCGGTCGGACTGGCGACCCTCCCCCCATCACGCGATTCTCACCGTAGGATCTGCACCCTCGGCATCGAGTTCGTCCTTTCGGCATCTATTCGTTCTCGCAGAATCGAGCTCGCACTCTCGGCATTGGACTGATGGTTGCAGCATCAGAACCGTGCTCGCAGGGTCGAGTTCATGATGTCAGCACCGCACACGTCCCAGCAATCGGAATCGTGTCCTCGCCATTGGACCATTGGACTCCCAGTATGGGGTCTCGCGATGGACCCATTGTGTGGACGCAGCACTCAACGAATGTCGCTGCCACTTCTGGCCTGCAGGTAATCCAAAGCGCTTCGGTGGTGAGCACGTCCTGTTGGCACTAGCCTAACCTAGCCTAGCCTAGCTAGCTAGGCCTAGCGTTCGTCCCGTGTGCAGTTGGTGCAGCAACAGCCTGGGCTCTGTGGACCGCGCTGCCTCGCGTCCCGCGGACGCCACGTGCCCCCCCCCCCCCATCCCCCTTCCCCCCGGCTTGCGGACAGCGCTGTGGTTTAACGCCAAGGCGTTGTTGCAGCACCTTTCCGAGTACGACACATGTTGGTGGCGACGAACACATCATGTTGCGCCTGGGTGCCATGACGCGGTTGGCGATGCGGCAGGGTGCCGTCACAGTGCCGCCGCTGTGCCGCAGGGTGCAGTCACCGCGTCTCTGCTGTGCCGCAGGGTGCCGTCACAGTGTCGCCACTGCCGCAGGGGTGCCGTCACAGTGTCGCCGCTGTGCCGCAGGGTACCGTCACAGTGTCTCCGCTGTGCCGCAGGGTGCCGTCACAGCGTCGCCGCTGTGCCGCAGGGTGCCGTCACAGCGTCGCCGCTGTGCCGTAGGGTGCCGTCACAGTGTCTCCGCTGTGCCGCACGGTGCCGTCACAGTGTCGCCGCTGTGCCGCAGGGTGCCGTCACAGTGTCGCCGCTGTGCCGTAGGGTGCCGTCACAGTGTCGCCGCTGTGCCGCAGGGTGCCGTCACAGTGTCTCCGCTGTGCCGCAGGGTGCCGTCACAGTGTCGCCGCTGTGCCGTGGGGTGCCGTCACAGTGTCGCCGCTGTGCCGTAGGGTGCCGTCACAGTGTCGGCGCTGTGCCGCAGGGTGCCGTCACAGTGTCGCCGCTGTGTCGTGGGGTGCCGTCACAGTGTCGCCGCTGTGCCGTAGGGTGCCGTCACAGTGTCGCCGCTGTGCCGTGGGGTGCCGTCACAGTGTCTCCGCTGTGCCGTAGGGTGCCGTCACAGTGTCGCCGCTGTGCCGTGGGGTGCCGTCACAGTGTCTCCGCTGTGCCGTAGGGTGCCGTCACAGTGTCGCCGCTGTGCCGCAGGGTGCCGTCACAGTGTCGCCGCTGTGCCGCAGGGTACCGTCACAGTGTTTCCGCTGTGCCGCAGGGTGCCGTCACAGTGTCTCCGCTGTGCCGCAGGGTGCCGTCACAGTGTCGGCGCTGTGCCGCAGGGCGCCGTCACAGTGTCGCCGCTGTGCCGTGGGGTGCCGTCACAGTGTCGCCGCTGTGCCGTGGGGTGCCGTCACAGTGTCGCCGCTGTGCCGCAGGGTGCCGGCGGCGCCATGACGGTGCTGATGCGGGACGCCATTCGCCCGACGCTGATGCAGAGCCTGCAGGGCACGCCCGTGTTCGTCCACGCCGGCCCGTTCGCCAACATCGCGCACGGCAACTCCAGCGTGCTGGCCGACAAGATCGCGCTCAAGCTGGTCGGCGAGAAGGGCTACGTGGTGACGGAGGCCGGCTTCGGCGCCGACATTGGTGAGGGTGGCGACGGGGCGGTGGCGAGGCGGCAGTGGAGCGTGCACGGTGAGACGACGGCGGTGGGGTGGGACACCGAGCGACAGCGCCGAGAAAATGGGAGAACAGTAGGCTGGGGCGAAAGGTCGGCTCCGGGGCTTGAGTTGGTGATGCGTAAGACGGGAGGGTGTTGGGTTGTGCTGGGAATGGAGGAGTAGAATAGTAAATGGTGAGCGTGTATGTGTGCGTGTGTGCGTGTGTGCGTGCGTGCGTGCGTGCGTGCGTGCTTGTGCGATTACGTGTGTGCAGGCGACGATTGGAGATGGAGGCAGAGGCGGGCAGGAACGGTATAAGTGGTACTCAATTGCGCCTGAAAAAAATGGAAGCGTGTGGTGTAAAATGCATGTATGCTTCCTTTCTCCGCGCACGCATAATTGTTATGCTGTTATCGAAGAAATCGCGAGACTTGTTGTAAAACCCTTGGAAGAAACCGCCAGTCGCCTTGCTTGTCGGGCCCCAGGTGAGGACTGGAAGCCCCCCTACAAATCCAGGCTCCGGGGGCCGGGCTCACGCAGCCGTCCGGCGCGGCTGCGTGAGCCGACCGTGCGTTCGTTCCAGGCATGGAGAAGTTCTTCAACATCAAGTGCAGGGCGTCGGGCCTGGCGCCGGACGCCGCCGTGCTGGTCGCCACGGTGCGCGCGCTCAAGATGCACGGCGGCGGACCGGCCGTCACTGCCGGCGTGCCGCTCGCTCCCGCCTACACCCAGGTCAGTCTGAAGGGAGCCGACACTGCGCACAAAGCGCCAAGTCTAGGGCAGTCTCAGTACAAGTGGCGTAATTGCTGTGATTTCCGGCAGAGTTTGCACACAAAGCAGCCGCATTGGGACAGGGACGGGTGCACTGCAAGCGATGGGTCTCCCGTTGGACCATCGGAGCTCAAAAGCGGACCCACAGGCTGTGTAGAGGGAGTCTTTCGTACGGGGAGACGGTGTGACGAACAGAAAGCAGTCGGCTTCATGTCGGCTTCAACATTGCCGATCAGGTCGAACTGAGTGCTGTTTTTAATCTGTCGTGATAATGAAATTTCGCCTTGCTTTTGAAGCCATGGCTTTCAAAGCCCAGCCCGCTGAAGGATAAAATAAACCGCGTCTTATGGACCGCCGCGGTGGCGTCCGTAAGTGTGTACAAGATGTTTTTAGATTACTTCAAACTGCGGTCACACCACTGAGGTGTAGCTCCTCGGAACAGTCTGCGTAGCAGGAACGACATTGAAGTTATATTGCGGGAAAACACGGCTGGCTTTGAGATGGCTAGATTCGTAACGGGTAATCGAATATGGAGATAAGGTACCCGCCACCACGTGACATACGTGCGCGTCTGAACGATAAAGGCATGACATGGATGAAATCGCCGTCAATTTTCAGACTTTCATGGTTCAAAACTGAGGCCAACTAATGTCAACAACGTACCAAAAGAAATGGAAATGCGCACCAAACGCGCTTGATTTTGCTTTTTGCTTAGAAAATGCCCTTTGTCGAGTGCGGCGGCATCATTTCTTTCAGCACGCTCTCCAGGCTGTATGATCGTAAACTTTTCCGAAATGCACCCTCTACCTTATATGAACGTTCGTGCATTTAAGCCCGGAACCACGCTCCTATATTTTGTTATTTTCTCGCCATTCAGGACCTAATTCACCATACATGATCACGGGCACAGCGATAGTCGCACGTGCACCGAGTAGATGTGTCAATTCAAATGCAATCATAAACTTGCCTAATGACGGTAGACAACATCTTATAAGGGGCGTAAGTGCAAGGGCGATGTTATAGGGACCGAAGTTAAAAGGGGTTGGGGAATTTGGACCGCGCGTTTTGAGTAGTCTGGGTTCAATTCCCGACACGCAGAAATGCATGGGGACTAACTTCCTCGACTTTTATCATCTTCTGCGGTCCGGAATCCATTCCGGACACGCAGGACATGCGTGACTAGCAACTTCCCGCGCCCTTCATCATCTGTTGATGACGGCGCGCCGTCTTTGATGTCCGATACAAGGCATGCGTCATCGCCGTCGCTTGATGTCGCCGCCGCCCCGCCGGCTCTCCGCTGGGGAGCGGCCGTGTCGCGCCGTCTGGCCCGCTGAGCTGGCGCTCGAGGCTCTGCCAGGAGCGGTACCGTCACACACCGGTGCCGAGCGACCGGCTTCCGCGGCGGCCGGCACTATCAAGGTGGCGCGCCCGGAGGCGCGGCTGGTCGAATGCCCACGCGGTTGAGCCCGGACCGTCGCGCGACGCCGGTCCCTATCGCCGCTCACGTCGTCTTTGTGGCGCACTTCCGCCGCGCGCTGCGCCGCGATCGCCACGATCGTCGGCGGCGGCGATAGCTGGCGGCGAGGTGAGGAGCGGACCGGACGACGGCGGCCCGTCAGTCCGTGCTCCGCCACCGCTGCTGCCGCTGCCGCTGCCGCTGCCACCGCCGCCGCCGCCGCCCGCCGCCGCCATGTTCCGCCCGCTGCTGCCGCTGCTGGCCGCCCTGCTGGCGGCGCCCGGCTGCCGAGCCCTCAGCTGCTTCCAATGCTCGGACCTGGCGGGCCTCCGGTCGGCCGCCGGTCTGCCGCTGCAGCAGTCGTTCGGGGCCGGCGCCGTCGTCCCGTCCTGCGCCGAATTCGACAAGGACGACGACCGCTTCAAGGTCGAGCGCTGCACGGGCAGCTACGACAGCACCTGCGCCAAGGCTTCCCTGGATGGGAAGGAGATCCGCGGCTGTTTCGACCGGTCCAGGCAGGAGGGCTGCACCGTCACGGACCGGCTGACGATGTGCGTCTGTACGGGCGACTACTGCAACTCGGCCGGCCTGGCGGCGCCGACCATGCTGCTGTTGCTACTGCCGGCCGCCCTACTGGCCGGCCTGGTCTGCGCCTAGTCGGCCGCCGGCGCCGTGCCGCGCTGGACGCCCGCCGTTGAGACGGCTCGCCGACCGCCGTCGGCCGGACAGGCAGCTGAACGCGATTAGGGTGGTCAGGCTGCGGTGCAACGCCTGTGGCTGAGCCGTGGCCGCTGCGAAATTGGATGGGGCGGACCTGTTGCCCTTGGAGTACATGTGCATAAGGTCTCATTCGACTCCATAAAAGGCGCGTCTGAAGAGTCGTGCTGAACACGCCCGATAATGATTGACATCAAATTTTACCAATTGTGGTTACCAGAAATATTTTGGCAACTGACATCCGAGAATTGTGTGATGAGTCATTATTCAATAGCAGCTTATTGTATGTCCTGTTAGGACATTGAATGCCGTTAAGCCCCAATCATCGTCATTTGTGACAATCACGTCCTTCAGTTGCTTACTCGTTTTCGAACATGTGGGGACCAATCCTGGTGTGTGATGTTCGAATGCAGTGAGCTGATTATAGGAGGCAGGCTTCAGAAATAAATGTGTCAGCTAGACCTCAAGCGTTGCGTTTACGTAACACGCCTGCCCCGCCCACATTGCGTATTGAACCCGCTGCACTGGTCTGACACGCGGGCGCTTTCCTCGCTTGTTCCGGTAAAACACGGTATGCCGAGCTCGCCGCCTGGGTCGGATGCGTGTGGTGATCGGCCGCGGCCGGTGCGGGCGGCCGACCTGACGCGGCCGGTGCGGGCGGCCGACCTGACGCGGCCGGTGCGGGCGGCCGACCTGACGCGGCCGGTGCGGGCGGCCGACCTGACGCGGCCGGTGCGGGCGGCCGACCTGACGCGGCCAGCGCGGGCGACCGGTGTGGCCCGGTCGGCCTGACGCAGCCGGTGCGGGCGGCCGGTGCGGCCCGGCTGGCCTGACACGGCCGGTGTGACCCGGCTGGCCTGACGCGGCCGGTGTGACCCGGCTGGCCTGACGCGGCCGGTGTGACCCGGCTGGCCTGACGCGGCCGGTGTGACCCGGCTGGCCTGACGCGGCCGGTGTGACCCGGCTGGCCTGACGCAGCCGGTGCGGGCGGCCGGTGCGGCCCGGCTGGCCTGACGCGGCCGGTGTGACCCGACACGGCCGGTGTGACCCGGCTGGCCTGACACGGCCGGTGTGACCCGGCTGGCCTGATACGGTCGGTGTGGCCCGGCTGGCCTGACGCGGCCGGTGTGACCCGGCTGGCCTGATACGGCCGGTGTGGCCCGGCTGGCCTGACGCGGCCGGTGCGCGGCAGCCCAACTCCCCGACGGACCGCGACGCCGGCAGCCCGGTGCCGTCTGATCTGTCGGCGTGCCGGCGGTGGAGCGCGCTTGCGCAGCTGCCGGGTCGACGGGTCACGGCCGAGTGGCCCCCGTGCTCGCTGGCGCCCGATCCGGTTCTGACTCGGTTTCTCAGTGCCGATTTCGGGGTCACACGCACTCGGTTTCTGACGGGTGAATCGCGTTGTTTCTGAACCGGGATAGGGAGTGAGATACCGTGGCCGGTTGGAGAACCGTTGTGGAGTAATTTGTGCAGATGGTTATACATGTCGCAGACTCAAAGGAGCTGTTGCAACACTACAATATTGTGGTAGGCGTAAGCAATGATCAAAGCACTTTTCCATTTATATAATTTGTTAGCTATAAACTATAGCACATCAACAAGTCATGACATCGGTTTTTGTACTGGGATATTCTAAAGTACGTTTTGGAGTTACTTAAGGCGCGCGGCAGTTGTCGGGAGCCAGCATAGGCTGGGGCCCGTCGTAGGTTTCGTTAAAAAGACAGGTACGTGATTTAAGGGATGCTGGTTGGCCACTGAAAATCACCTTTGTCCGGAAAGGCACACCATCTCTAAACGAAAAAGAACAATCCACAGTTGAAGTCCATTGATGTACGTGGGCAGATACATCATCGTTGGCGGTATCGGCGCTTCTGTCCTGATGTATCGCATGGGTACTTTTTACGCCGTTACCCAAGAACAGGTAACCAGGAGTGCCCCTCCCTCAGTCCCAGCGACGCAGTAAACCGTACGTTAACACCAGAAAACATAAAATCAAGTCGCGGCACTCCCAGCTAGGAAGATGAAATAAACATAAAAAAACAGGTAGAGGTGGAGCAGACCCGAAAGAATTGTGTTATGTGATAGGTAGGGAAAAATCATAGGTGAAAAGGCTTAAAGCAGTCATTAGCCAAAGTCAGCTAATGACAGCCCGCTATAACCGCCCAATGATCTACAACCACTCAATTTACCGTGTTAGTAAGGGCTATACAGTCACACAAGCCGGGGGGGGGGGGGGGGCAATTACCTGGTCATTTTTGTGCTGGGCTTTGGGCTGGATGTCCAGGGAGTCCACCCAGCTAAGCAGAGCTTGTTGCTGGGAGAACTCCCGGAGCCAGCGCCGTGAGTTTGGGTATATGTGCATGACTTTATATCAGAAATTGATTATGAAACATGAAGGCGGTCAAATATGAAGTGTGTTGGATATGTACAGCACAAGGATGGCAATGTCTTCAAATATATTGGTTACGTTAATATGTGTTCACGAAATGCTTGCGGATAATGTTCTTAACGATGGTTTTTGATACAGGGATATCAGCTATTCTTGGAAATATGAAACCATATTGTCGTTCCACAGCTTAGGGCCAAGGCAAGATGCTGTAAATAGTCTATAATTACGATAAGGGAAAGGTTGGTCTAAATGTTTTGCCCGCCTCATATCCATGTCATTGGATTCGTAGAGATTGTAAATTAAATCGAATGATGCAGGGAGCTGTGAAGTTAAAAATCTGTGCATCACAATTAACATTTGAGATTTAGCAATATTCGATAGTTTCAAAATTTTGTGTCG